TCTATCTATCTATCTATCTATCTATCTATCTATCTATCTATCTATCTATTTGTAAGTAAATAAATAAATATATCATTTTTTTAAGGCAAAAAGAGAAGAGACTAAACTAAGTCCCTCAAAAATAAAATCAGGAGGGGGGTTGAGGAGCTGTATCCTACGTTCCTGCACTCTGATTGGGGGCAAAATATGGACCCAGTAGGAGGAGTCAACGATTCTGAAACTCTATTCCTCATCTTCCTTCCGGAAAGTTCAAAGCCTGGACCACAGACATCTGATGGAAGTTGGGTTTTCAAGAGACTGGGACCAGGTTCCTTCTATGGGCACTACATATAGTCTCAGGAGATTCCCAGAGGGTAAAGTCGTCCTCTTGCTGCAGCTTCCACAAAGCTGCAAAGCAATAGGATTTACACTTTCATGTTGCCACAGAGGGCGTTCAGAGACACAGCACCCCTCATATTTATACAGGACCAGATTGTGGCTCTGGGCAGGTCACTCTAGTTCCCTGGTAAGCCTTGAACTTACTCCACCATACTCTCACTTTTCCTCAATGCCCGCCAAGAGCCCTGACCTTGTTTTGTGTAATGTGATCCCATTTAATCATCAGAGCCATCCTGGGAGAATTTCAGCTGGTCAGACAAAAGCACTGAGATGTGAGGCCACTTTAGTAAAGGGAGGAACTCTGCCCTTGATTGCCCAGAGCAAGAGCCTGTTTCCTTCTCCACAGGAACTCAGGAACCCCAGCTCAAATGCAAGCCAAGGGATGGCCAGGCACACAGAGCAAGTTCACTCTGTTGTTCTCTGTGAATCCTCACTATTCCACAGCTCCATGTCATAGGCATGTGCCCCTCCACCCCTCCCCCTGCCACACACACACACACACACACACACACACACTTGAAGTCATGAAAACCACTGGATAAGGCACAGCCGCTTCCATTTTAGGAGTAGGAAACCTGGTCACTTTTGAATGGACACAGCACAGCCCACCTTTACCTTGATCTGGATGCCTATGAATCCGCCTCCTTGATGACTGTGTTTTAACCTGAGATCTTTTCACTAAGAGTCAAATTTTCATTCATTAAACAGATGTCTATATAGGCTACTTGAGATCATAACTAGAGCTGGGCATTGGGTAAGGAACACTGAGCAAAACAGTCACTCCCAGGCACTCAGAGAGAAAGTCTCTAGCCAGAGACCACACAAGTAAGGAACTCAGGACCCCTGCCTTCCGGTTCTGCCAGTTGAGTCAGTGTTTGCCTGGCTCATTCCACTGCAGGCCCTTCATCAAGGCCAAGGGCTTAGACTCCTTTTTGCCTGGTCCCAGAAGGTTCTCAAAGCCACCCTTGGAGGCCCACAGCAGCCTCCTATACAAACAGCCCAGCACACTGGCCTCACTTTCTCTTGATAAAGACCAAAGAATTCCCTCTAGGGCTTGAATGGTGACTGTTGCAAGCTGCTGGGATTGGAAACAGGAAAAACATCTGCTCCAGAGGCCCTTGAAATGGACACTTATACTACTTTTCAAATTAGTTAGAAGTCATCATCAGCAAAGGCTGAGGTGATGTGACTTGCTGAGGGTCACAGTGTTAGGGACAGGCTCACTGATGCAAACTAGGCCAGTGAGAACCCTGAATCTGCTGGCACTCCCTCCCTGCAAGGTCTGTTCCTCCACCGGACAGTGTCAGAGGCCACTGCGCTATCCTGGGGAAACCACATCTCCCCTGGTTTCCTGGGCAAGCCAAGGAGAGAGAGGCAGCGGCGCCTGTCGGGCGGGCGAGAGGGAGAGGGTGGGGCGCTTTGTGGACAGCGCCTCAGCTCCTGCCCACAGGCAGAAGATGGTCAAAACAGTTCAACCAGGCTAGGCGCCCGCAACGCCAAGAGGAGCAGAGGCACAGTATTCCTAACCCAGTGTGCGGCAGACGGGCAGATAGCTTCTCTCTGCCTCTCCAAAAATCCCTCCAACTTTTGCGGTAGTTAATTTTTTAAAAAATCAATTAAATGACAGCAGGGAACTTTCGAAAAGTTGATACAGGTGAATACCAGAATCTTTTTTTTTGGGGGGGGGGGGGGGGGGGTGCTGAAGGCTCTTACCTGCGGTTGAAACCCAGCAGCCGGCAAAGGCGCTCCCTTCTGGAGCGCTTCGTTTAAGCGCGGGACGTTCTCGGCCGCCTCGCCTCGTCTGCAGCCCGCTGGGCTCCGGCCCTGTGTTTTATACCACTATAGGCAATTAATATTGCATCAGCCGTATTTTAAATTTTCAAAACCCACAATATAATGTAATGGCATAAGGGCATTTATTATTAAAGGACACCGATGGAGAGGGAGGTGGAGGAATTGCTGGGATGGTTGCTCAAGGCGGGTGCGAGGGGCTGAGGCCTGCGGAACTGGGGGCTATCCACAAGTTTGCTTTTACAGAGGTGGGGGTGGGTTGTGGCTGTGCGGGAGAGCGGCGGCCAGCCGGCCGGCCGTGGAACCGAAGCCTACTTTGCTCTGAATTTCGGATCAGAAGCAAAGAACCCAAAGCTCTTTGAAGACGCACCAGGGAAACGTGCAGACTCCTGGTGCTGTAGCATTAATTTTTTAACCACAAACATGTTTCCAAGGCACGCAGGCACTGAAAAAGTTTCTGCCTATATAGAGTGGCAAGAGAGAAGGGTGCCATTCGTTGGCGTCTACTGCGTGCAGAGCACTGAACCGTTTTCTGCAACAGGCGTCTCAATCCTCCGCCAAGATAACACCGTTCTGTGGTAATCTTCTGATGACCATTTCAAATGGTGACATTTGGAAGAGGCTCCAATATTCTGTCCGAGCAGCTGTTTTTTCTCCCCGCCCTCCTTTGCCTCTACCCTCATCTCTGCAGCTATGTGAATCATTTAAAAATAGTATTTTATTTTTTATCAAGTGCCAAGCACCAGCTACCAGCCGCCTCCAATAGACAGTCCTTACCCTAACAGTGTGAGTTGGGTAATAGGTATTCATTCTGTGGACCAACAATCTTGACCGAGAGACATAGAAAAGTTAGAAAACTAGCTCCAAGATGGTTTAGCTTTTGAGTGACAGAATTGGAGTTTGACTCCCAGTCAGCCGGGCTTCCAAGTTTCCAAGAGAATAGCCTGACAGTTTCGCATCAAGAAGCATGGAGGAAATTGCCTTTGGAGGCGTTTGAGATCCAGAGAGTTGAAGCAAGGTCCGGTTGCCTTGTGTTTGACGTAAGAGTTTGCGACTGCTTGGGAAGGGAGTGGGGAAGAGAGACAGGTTTTCATTTTTAAATCCTTTCCAAGTCTAATTGTCTTTAGCACCAGGGAAGGAAAACAACTCAATTCAGGTCGAAAAATAAAGCATTTATTTTAGAAGTTAATATAAGGGATAAAGAGAAGAAACGCAACGTTTTATTTGTATCTACTCCAGAAATGGAACCAAAGGTTACACAGCAACACACAAACTACAGGAAGCAACGAAAAATACAGTATGAGGGAGCTGTGGCCGCAGGGAAAAGACATCTAGTTCTGTGGTCCTGCGTTTTCCCCTGCTGGAAAACCCTAAGTGAACTTCCACAGAGAGTGAGGTATGGGGTCAGGGAAGGTGGAGTCAAATAAATAACAAGAACTAGTGGTGCCAGCAGCCACAGAGTAAAAGTGCAACAGTTAGGTTAGACATGTTGGAAGGATCTGCCTACGATTCCAGAAGCTAGAGTCACTCTCTGATGCCGGCACTGCGGTCTACAAAGAGCAAGAGCGGTAATCAGAGACAGGGCTTCTTCTTCAGCTGGTCTCATCTGGAACCTCTGAACTCCCTTCCCCCCCCACCCAAAAAAAGCGGTCAAGAAAGACAGCCAGAGCTAACACTGGCCTCTGCTCACCAACAGCCAAGACATCCAAAGTATTTTCAGCCTCTGGGTTGGGCCTACCTTGTCTGGAATCTTCCTGACCACCAACAGCCCAGCAGGCCAGATCTCCCACACATCATCCCTGAACTTAACCCATGCTACTTGATGAGAATGTACGGTAAATCAATAGATACTATGGTTAGAATTTAGGCGCAGAAGGGAATTATTATAAGGCTCTCCTTTGGAAACAGACGTGTTTTATATACTCTAATAAGTTAATTAATCTCCATGTTTGTGTCCCGCTTAAATATTCTAGACTTTATATCATTATCTATTGCTCTTTTTCTTACCTTCGTCCCTGCCTAATGGCGCCTAGTATAAAAGTGATACTTTCACCTTGGAGTGGGAAGGCCAGGTCAATTCACTAGCCCCTCTGCGTTGGGGCTGCAGGCCTGAGGTCCTGCGGTCTCACGAGCAAGGCCGAGTTTCAGCACCTCGGACAGCACAAAGTCCCACCAGGCTTTCCCTTGGAAAAAAAAAATTTTTTTTTTCCTTAGCGCCAGAACTTTTTTTTTTTGGGGGGGGGGGGGTAGAGGGAAAGGGGAAGAAGAGATGTCCAGGAAGCAATTAAGTGGGGCAAAGGGGGAAAGTCTGTGACTCGAGGGAAGAGAGCCTGACCTGCCAGGAAAAACCCTAGAGTGTCCCGTAACGTCCCCTCCCGTCGGAAGGGGGCGATGCCAGTAGGCTCTCCCGGGTCCTCCGGGTGCCGCACCCGCCGCAGTCAGTGAACAGCCGAGTACTTCATTCGTTTCTGTTTCTGTCTCTGGTTGCAGAACCAGACCCTCACCACATTCTTTTTAAGGTCCAGTTTCTCAGCGATGGCCGCGATCTTCTCGGACGAAGGACGAGGCTGGATGGCGAAGTAGGCCTCGAGCGAGCGCTTCTCCGGGGCGGCGATGGACGTGCGCTTGCGCTTGCGCTCGCTGCCGTTGAAGAGCTCCGGCTTGCTGTTCTTCTCACGGTAGGCGGCCTCCGCCTCCTCCAGCCAGGCCTGGAGGACCGGCTTGAGCGCGATCATGTTGTTGTGAGACAGGGTGAGAGACTCGAACCTGCAGATGGTGCTCTGGCTGAGAGAGCCCACGCCGGGGATCTTGAGATTGGCCAGAGCTGCGCCCACGTCCGCCTGGGTCACCCCCAACTTGATGCGCCTCTGCTTGAAGCGCTCGGCGAAGGCTTCCAGCTCTCGAGGGTCTGACTCCACGTCGCTGAGACACGCGGGCATGGCACTGTGGGGCGCTACGGCGTGCGGGTGACTCATGCCCATGGCCTGGTGCAAGTGGCCCATGGCGCCCAGATGGTGCGGGTGGATCTGCCCGGGCATCACCGAGTGCTCCGGGGCTCCCAGGCCGCTGACGCTCAACGTGGGCGAGATGTGCTCCAGCAGGTCGCCCTCGAGGCCCTGGTGCACCGCGTGGTGAGGGTGCGAGGTGAGCGCGGCCGGGTGGGAGATGGGCACCGTGGGCGAGGTGGACGTGCAGGGCACGCTGCTCATGGTATGGTAGGTGGCGTCGGGCTTGAACGGATGGTTCTTGCCGTGGGAGACGATATCCACCGCCGCCAGAGCTTCCGCGCGCGCCAGCAGGCTCTCATCAAAGCTTCCAAATATATTACCCTGCAGCTGCAAGCAAGAAGGCGCGCGGCACGGTCAGTGGGGAATACTGTCAGCTCAGGATTAAAACACATTTTCAAGCAACCGAGATGCCTCTCCTCAAAGCCCAGGTCATAAAAATTAATACGGAGGCAGCCTCTCTGTTGGAACAGACGTGCGGATCAGAGACATGAATGAGAGAGAGAGGGAGAGAGAGAGAGATTGGAGAGAGAGAGCGCCGCGAGAGAGCGCGGGGGAGACAAGGCGAGGGGTTCAGACAGCGGCGATTGTTCTGGGCGACATGAAAAAAACATGAAGCGAGTGCCTGTCAAAAAATGTGCCTCGGAGCGGTAATTATGCTCCACTACGTACCTGCGGGGCTGGGAGACAAACTCGGCGCATGGCCTCAGAGCCGGAGTGCAGACTGGAGAATTTGGGTTCTTGCAGGACGGGGTGCATGCCGAAAGGCTGCTTGGCGTTCATGGCCATCATCGTCGGGAGTCTGGCAGGGAGGCAGCGGGGGACATGGAATCAGGCTCGTCTGGCCGGCTCTCCGCGCTCCGAGTGAGCGCTGCTCAGCGCCAGCGCTCCCCTCGCCCTCTCGCCCGCTGCCTCCCCTCTCCCCCACCTGCTCCTTCACTCATCTTACAAGCAGCCTGCCAGGAAGGGCCCGAGCACGCGCAGGCGTGCACGCGCCCGGGGCTCGCAGGGGCGGCCCGGGAGGCGAGGCGGGACCGCAGGGCTCGGCGCGCCACTCTGAGCCTACTGCGGCTGCCCCCTCCGCTGCGTTTATACCCGGGTCTGGCCGGGCCTCTTCCTGTCCGCCCCGCCCCGCCTGGCTCCAGCCTGCCAGACTTCACGGACTCTTTCTTCTTCCTCCTGGACCTCTTTGCACAAAGTCCTAAACCTCTGTCCTGTCCCAGCTCAAACTGCCTGAATGGAAAGGCAGACTCAGGCTCCCAATGCGCGCGCGCACACACACACACACACACACACACAATCTGTGTGTGTGTGTGTGTGTGTGTGTGTGTGTGTGTGTGTGTCTTTCTCTGTGTGTCTCCCTCTCCAAACTGGCCATTTCCAAGGTGCCCTGGGCCCGAAGCTCAAAGTCCTGCACCCTGGCTCAAAGCGAAGTGGCGCCTCCAAGCTCAAGGACCAGCCTGGGCAAGGACCAGAGGTTCCCAGACTCTCTCCTCCACTGTGGGCTTGGACTGACACAAGCAGTGACTGCCTTCCTGATCCACAAGCCTGTGGCCACTTCCCAGCCCATTGCCTTTTCTGCTTTCATGTGAGAAAGACAGTTTGACCCATTACCTTTTTCCCCAGGCGCCTAGTCCACGAAAGCTTGCTAAACAACAGTCCGCTGAGCCTGGGCAGTCCCTCTCACACGCTTCTTCTGCTTACCTGTCGTAACAACAGCTGCCACTTTTGAGCTACCGATTTGTGCGAGGCAATTCAGGCAATCATAGTAATTAATAATAACAATGTAGTAAAAATATTGATTACTCAGTGTGAGAAAGAATTGAGTTAGTTTATAGGACCGAAGTTCTGCCGACAGGACTGAGTAGCTGCTCCTATCCCATTAGTGAAGCGAGGAAAACAAGAGCCAAATAACTTAAGGGAAGATATCCGAGCTGCGAGAAGTCTTTCACTCACTGGTTTGGCAACGACATCACTTCTGGCTTTGGGCTCTTGACCCTTTCGCCTCTTCTTCCTTCAGGAAGTTCCCCAACTTGAGGGTCTTAAATTTGGTCCTGCCCCATCCCGTGTCGCCAACTGTTTCTAAACCCCCCCCCTCCTCTCTCCTCGCTGGAGATAATAAACAGCATGAATAATGGATAGGGAATCCTGGGACTGTGGCCGATGGAGATCCGCCTTCGGGTTGGAAGAAAAACTCCTGCCCAGCTGCCTCCCCCAGCGCAGTGTGTACTCAAGCGTGTGCTGGGTTTCCCAGAATCTTAACACCGTGGGGGCGGAGTGCGGAAAGCCTAGGTGCTAGGGATGAGTTTGGCCTAAGAGGACACTCTGCCTAGACCCAGCTCCCTCACCTCCTCCGGACCACCAGCCAGCCCCTTCTCTACTCATCCCAAGGCACCATCTAGGTTCTGCCATACCGGTGGCTGAAAGAGAGAAAGGCCAATGGGAATGGCACTCAGATAGCTTTCTTGAGTTCTGTGGATGCCGATGCTGATGATTTAAAGTAGTGAAGAAAGTATTGAGTACTCAGGGCACTCTTCATAACCCAGTGCATGTTGCCATCAAACTGCCTCTACTGGCAGGAGACCGTTGCCTTGAAGCCTCTGTACTGCAGCGCCCACCTGTACACAGGAGGCAATAGCTTCCCCCACTGTTGGGAGGATGGCTTCACCTGTAAGCGCTTGAGACAGAGCCTGGCATGTTGAGATGATGGAACAAATATTAGTGCCTCTTCTTTAGCCTAAAGAGCGGCCTGCAGTCTCCAGGAATGTGGCAGTCTCTCTGCAGATGCCATTTGTTCCTCTCCTTCTTCAGTACTAGCTTTGTGCCACAACATCAGGGGCTGGGACAGTTGTGAACTCCAAGGAGTCACCAGACTACTAGCAGAGGGAATGACTATAGATCAGGCACACACCTCAGGGAAAGCTTAATACCCCCCCACCACCACCAGTTCTCACTGTGGAGCTCTTGCTGTCCTGGAACTCACTTTGCAGACCATCTGTTTTCAGCCTCACCGAGATCATCTGCCTCCGCCTCCCAACGTACTGGTACTAAAGGTGGATATTGCGGGATCCAACAGCAACTGAGATTTTTGAAATGTGGAACACACATCAAGACAGTGGGACTTCGGAGGGCTGATTTCTGACATTGGATTGATGTGAACTTGGCTAGGCCTCAGTTTATCCAAGATAAGAGAGCAGACTATATGATTGATGAGTACTACCAGATTTAACAAAAGGCTAGCGAGCTGTTTTATCTGTAACACATTTTGGACAGGCCATAAGATTCTGGCCAGGACCCCTGGAGTCCCCAGAAGTCAAACATGTATTAGTTTATCTCCCACTAGCATTTAGGACTCCTCAGTCTTGTTTTCTGCCAAGTGTGAAGTCCAAAACGTAGGAGGGAATAAACATGAGGGTACTGGATCTATATTTTGCCTGGCCTCATGGAGCCCTAAGATCCTCTTCTCACGCCATAATTCCCCAATTGTCTGTGAAGATGAATACTTAGGGAAAGACCTATCCCCACTCATCCTCTTTCACTGCTCTGTCACTCATGAGAAATACTGACCAAGGGGTCTGCAGAGATGGCTCAGAACACTGGCTGCTCTTCCAGAAGGCCTGGGGTCTATTCCTAGCACCCACATGGCAGCCTATCCCTGCCTGTGACTGCAGTTTCAGGGGATCCAATACCATCACACAGACATATACGTAGGCAAACATAATGCACATAAAATAAAAATAAATAAGTCATTAAAAAATACTGACCATGGCTGGTCATGGTGGCACACACCTTTGATTTCAGCACTTGGGAGGCAGAGGCAGGTGGATCTCTGTGAGTTCAAGTCCAGCCTGGTCTACAAAGTGAGTCCAGGACAGCCAAGGCTGCACAAAGAAACCCTGACTTGAAAAAGAAAGAAAGAAAGAAAGAAAGAAAGAAAGAAAGAAAGAAAGAAAGAAAGAAAGA